GTCCCCTGCTGCAGAATCCTGTCCTCTGCCCTCCCAGCACCCTGTTCCCTCTCCCCTGCCCCCAGCCACAGTACTCCGTCCCCACAAAATGTATAATTATAAATGCTTCATTTTAGATTTAAATAGCATGAATAAAAAACAGACCATTTATTTCATAACTATAAACACGTGATTTTAATTGTATGCATCGCATAATTTAAAAATAAACTTTATCAGAATGTTTAAGTAAGGGCTGGGGATAGCAAGTGATGGACAGGAGGAGAATAGAGAGGGCGGGGCTTCAAGGAAGGGGCGGGGCTTCAAGGAAGGGGCGGGACGGTAGATCTTCACCTGTTCTGAGATTTGAAAAGTAAATGAAAAAAAAAAAAGGTTGGAGACCACTGATTTAGTGCATCTATAGTGTAATCCTGCATATAAACATTTATATTGTTTTCCTTTCTCCTAAATCATAAATTCTGTATAGTTTGTGACAAACTAGAAAATGTTATTACAAATACAAACAGCTGATTTTGTAAGCAAAGACAAAGGAGCAAAATACAACATAACATAGAAGAGCCTATATACTGTAGGTTGGAGACCACTGATTTAGTGCATCTATAGTGTAATCCTGCATATAAACATTTATATTGTTTTCCTTTCTCCTAAATCATAAATTCTGTATAGTTTGTGACAAACTAGAAAATGTTATTACAAATACAAACAGCTGATTTTGTAAGCAAAGACAAAGGAGCAAAATACAACATAACATAGAAGAGCCTATATACTGTATCTCCAAGCAACTTCTGTTATACAAGGTTTTACACATTAGTTTAATGGAAGGTGAAGGCAGTTGAATTGTTGGGAGGGAATACAGCTGTCAGCTATATTACAGACATTATAGACTTTTTTTGGAAGGTGGGTTAATCACTAAGAAATGTTTACTTACAGTAACTGTGGTTTTTCAAGGTGTGATGCAGATTTGTATCCCACTTAGGAGTGTGTACACCTAGAGCACTGAACCTGAAGAATTTTGCCTTGAGGTACTTGTCAGCCGCTGATCTGTTTCAGCAGCGGCTGAATCGGGGACGCCTGGGGCAGAGCAGATGGGGTCCTGCCGGGTTGGTCCCGCAGCGCCATCCTTTGGTGCTGAGGGACCAACCCGGCAGCACTCCAGCTGCTCTGCCCCAGGCGTCCCCAAGAGCAGCTGGGGTGCTGCTGGGTTTGTCCCGCAGCCCCAAGGGGCAGCACTACGAGACCAACCCAGCAGCTCCCCAGCTGCTCTGCTCCCGGCTTCCCCGATTCAGATGCTGGTCAGTTTCAGCAGCAGCTGAATGGGGGAAGCCTGTCCGGCTGCCCCAGCACTTCCGCATTCCTGATGGTGCCGGACCATCAGGAGTCCCGGAGCATTGGATGCCGGACTAATGGAGTTTTACTGTAGTATAGAGAAGCCCACACATTCTACCTACAGGCAGCTGGGAGAATTAGTTTGAGTGAATGGGATAGCAGATATAATCTTTTCTTTGTAGGCCATTGGGTCAAATGCAGTCTGGGTTGGCAGCGACAGAAAGTTATTACTACTTACACATGTAAAAGGCTGAACTGTGAGTGTATTTGACTTTTATCTACTTTCCTTAACAGTTCACTACAAGAGGTTTAATTGCATATGCTTAGGAATGAAAAACTACATTGTAACATTCTTATCATTTAGTAACTTTAACTGAGTTATCAGCAATGCATCTGTTAATTTTCTTTTTAAAGCAGTTGAAAGACCAAGACTCTAATTCTTGATCCTATGTAGGTCTGTGATTAATATTGTAATTGCGACCTTTCTTTAGTGCTCTGGCTTTCTATGGACAAGTGCTCACACCCACTGCTAATTCCTCTTTTATTCTAGTAATTCCCAAAATTGCCATCTGTGCATCTGCTGGTCCCTCACCAAAGGCTCTTAAGCCAAGTAAGTTGTCATGGGATAAAAAGGACGGTTCTTTCATGGACTGATAACCTGTTAAAAGACAGGAAACAAAGGGTAGGAATAAATGGTCAGTTTTCAGAATGGAGAGAGGTAACTAGTGGTGTCCTGCAGGGGGCCTTATTGGAACCAGTCCTATTCAACTTATTTATAAATGATTTGGAGAAAGGTAAACCATGAGGTGGCAAATTTGCAGATGATACTAAACTGCTCAAGCTAGTTAATTCCAAAGCAGGTTGTGAAGCTCACCAAACTAAGTGATTGGGCAACCAAATGGTAGATAAACGTTAGTGTTTATAAATGCAAAGTAGTGCACATTGGAAATCATAATCCCAACTATATGTATAATCAGGACTCGACAAACTGCGGCGAGAGCTACTTGCCAGCCCCGCACCATTCATGCGCCAGTCTGGCACTGCGCATGTGCACAACACCGGTGAATGGGGCACACAGAGCGACTGGCTGAAATCTACTCGCCACGAGCGAGTAGAAACAGTGGTTTGTTGAGCCCTGTGTATAATATACTGGGGACTATATTAGCTGTTACTACTCAAGAGAGATCTTGGAGTCATTGTGGATAGTTCTCTGAAAACATCCACTCAATGTGTAGTGACAGTCAAAAAACCAAACAGAATGTTATGAATTATTAAAAAAGGGATCTTATTGTCTCTATATAAATCTATGGTATGCCCACATCTTGAATACTGCATGCAGAGGTCACTTCATCTAAAAATATATGTTGGAATTAAAATTCAGAAAAGGGCAACAAAAATTATTAGGGGTATGGAACATCTACTATATGAGGAGAGATTAATAAGACTGGGACTTCTAAGCATAGAAAGAAATGACTAAGGGGGATATGATAGAAGTCTATAAAATCATGACTGGTGTGGAGAAAATGAATAAAGAAGAGTTATTTACTCCTTCCCATAACACAATAACTAGGGGTCACCAAATGAAATTAATAGGTAGCATGTTTAAAACAAAAGGAAGTACTTCTTAACATAATGCACACTCAGCCTGTGGAACTCCTTGCCAGAGAATGTTGTGAAGTCCAAGATTATAACAGGATTCAAAAAAGAGCTAGATAAATTCATGGAGGTTAGGTCCATCGATGGCAAACATCTTTAACACAACTAAAACCCATCCACTTGTCTCCCTGCCAAAGTAAGCACCCTGTCCTACAGAACATAACTATCCAGTGGTGCACGTAGCCAGAAAATGGCAAAGCCTTTTATTTTCTGTGTACTTTATCTTTACATTTGTAAGCATCCTACCTGTGTGCCATTTTGTCCTCATCTTCTTCCAGAGGAGACACATGCGTACTGAGCTCTCATCTGGAGATTTCGCTTCTGTTTAATCTTAAACGAATGTCTATGACAAGAACAAAAATGTTTTTCGTGGCTCAGGTGTCTGCCAGAACACACGCAGCTTGGGCTATCTGGGATGGGGGGAGAATGGAGCATCCTGGGCAGACTTCAAAATGGCCACCTTAAAAGGGCAATTTTTTTTTTCGGTCAACTTTTCCTCTGGAGTACCAGCACCTTTACACTGGTCCCAGGAACTAAAGGGGCTATGACTGTTTTTCAGCCCTGGTGAGATCCTTTTTTTTTTTTGCTACTTTTGCTATGGGGGGGGAGAGCCTGTGAAGGTTTCTCAAAAATAAAAAAGGGGGCATGATGCTGAAAAGTTTGGGAACCACTGAGCTAGATAAATTCATGGAAGTTAGGTCCATCAATGGCCAGGAGGGGTAGGAATGCTGTCCCTAGCTTCCGTGTGGAAATGGATGACAGGAGAGGGATCACGTGATGATTACTTGCTGTGTTCATTCCCTCTGGAGCACCTAGCATTGGCCACTGTCAGCAGAAAGGATAGTGGGCTAGGTGGACCTTTGGTCTGACCCAGTATAGTTGTTCTTATGTTCATGGTTACTTAGTACAGGAACTTGTTAGCTTGATAAACCAAATTGCTCAGGTTTGCAAAACTTGGGGATATTCTGCATTCAGCCCCAGACATAATTAATTGTGTAGAACTCCATCTGCCATGGAAGGATCAAAACTGGTTCTTGAATCTCTGACTTCAGAGTACCTATATACAGTGCCTAGATGTTACAGTGATAGGCACTTTAGAACTATGATCCAGACACACACAGCAGGTATTTTATACCTGATGCCTCAGGGTTCCAGTTTTGTTTACCTCTCTTCTGATTATTCAGCCTTCAGCTCTCCAGAGGTGCATGTGGATTACAACAGTGGCATGGACACCCTGCGGTATGAGGCTCCCTGGTGGTTCCCTCAACCTGTTGTGATTTGGACCTCACACAATAGCACAATGGACAACTTATCTGAAATCTTCAACACCAGCTGCAAGCTGAACTCTGAGAATGTCACAATGACGGTGGTGTCTGTTCAGCACCACATTACAGCTAATACTGCCTAGACCTGTGTAATTAAGAATGACATTTCCAAAGCTACAGGGGACATCAAAGTTACAGGTACATTCCAGCACTGCTTAAAGGCATTAGCCATAGGCTGAAGAAGTGTCAGCTACTGGATGTGGGCTCATGTGCTGTGAAACTTGGAGTTAGCAACAGAGCCTTTGCAGTTGCTGGTTCCAATGCAGACCCCCCAGCTAGAGTAGGCTGGATGGCTCTTCTCTCCCTCACACCTAGCTGCCTCTATCTGATAGGCAGCAAAGGGGAGGAGGGGAACTAGTCAACTGCCCTGCTTATCAGATAGGGATGTAAAGGACTAGTCGACTATTTGTAAAGTAGTAATATTTGCAGATGACCAAAATCCTTTTGAGGTTATACTAGTAATGACCTAACCAACCTGATTGAGTAGACAACATGCTTGGACGATGAAATTCAGGGTTGACAAATGGAAAGTAATTGCATATTGAACATCATAATTGCCAAATAAGGGAAAAAGGCCTGAGCATCACTGCAGACTTCTCAATGAAAATCTTTGGTGAATGTGCATGAGGCCAAAAAAGCAAACAAATGTTAGCATAAAGGAAGAGAACAATATGGAAAACATTATAATCTTAGTATTAATTTTAGAAATGTGCATCTGTTTGTCCATCTGTGAAACTGTTCAAGAACTCCTCCTAAATGGTAAGAGCTAGGATCACCAAATTTGATGTGCAGCTTCCTCTTGCTTTACGTTATGATAAGGTCAGGGTTTGTTTGTGGCAGGATGATGGGATATGGCCACAATTGTTTCTCATACAATGGAAAAAGAGGGGCTTGGTAGGCTGGAGTTATACTGCAGAATGACCTCGGGGGCAGCAATGGGCCATAAGGGGGAACCAGGACAACTGTAGCTCCAGCAGGGGGCAACGGTAGAAAAGGGGGCAGCTATCTATATATTTCTGAGGCTACGTCAAGACTGTAAGCCTCTTTTGAAAAAGAGCATCTAGACAAGATTTTTCTAAAAAGTGGCTTGCTTTTTCGAAAGAGTCTGGATGCTCTCTTTTGAAAAAGCCCCGTTTTCATGCAATAGCTCTTTTTTTCGAAAGATGACTTTTGAAAAATGGCATTATTCCTTGTAGAATGAGGTTTACCGCCATCGGTAAATTCTTTCAATTTACTTTTGACAGAACACGGTGGTAGTTTAGACGCAGGTACAGTTTTTGAAAAAAAACCAAACCAAAAACCTGTAGTCTAGACACACTCAGAGAGTTTGTATGTCTGGCTGTCAGTCCTCCACCTTAGGGACATGCATCCCTCCTTTAGCTATGCCTGCTGCAGTGACCATGGATAGGTTCTTGTCACCTGACCTCAAGCGGCTGCTGTGACAGAAGGCTGGGGTTGTTCCCCGGAACAGCCTGCAGACTAAACTACTTCTTCTCAGCCCACTCCAGAACAATGATTTAAATGAAGAAAAACAAAGCTCATTTAAATTAAGGACTCGAGCAATGGTGGGTAAATCTAGCACTATTATTAAAGTAATCTAGGATATCACGTTGGGTTCTGGTCACCTGGTTTCAAAAAAAAGATATACGAGAAGTAAAGGGGGGTTAGAGAAGTAAAGGGGGGTTAGAGATCAGAAACATTTTGACAACACACTTTTGTATCAGAAAATGCTGGTTTATTAAAACAAACTTTCCTTAGAAACATCCATTTTGCCAAAATGTTCAGATCCATGGTGTGATTAGTAATCCAAAGTAGAGTACACCACACCAGAATTGCTTTGGGATCACAGTATGTAGCTGGATTGAGGGTGTAGGGTAAACTGAGGTAGTCCATGGTATCTTGCTGAGAACTGACAACTCAAATCATTAGGCCAGGCCTGGGAAGCACACAAACAGCAGTTAACTTGACCCTGGTCGTCCTGGCAACACATTCCAAAGGGGCCTCACTTTGCTTTGATAAGGCTGGTACCAAACAACCGCGCAGGATTGTTTTTCATTGTCTGCTTTGTTTCTAGAAAATAAGCTTGGATCCCAAAGATCACGCCACGGCAATACCACCCCCACAGGAGATGCATTATATTTCCAGCTGACAAAATGACCATCCACATGCCTTTGTCTATGTTGGCTCATTTAGCTTGTTAGGAATAACTACTTGTATTAGTGATAATATGTTTAATTGGCAATGGGCGGAGATACTGTATAACTTTGTAGCTTATTGGCTTATGTGCATATTTCACTTCCGCTGCTAGACTGATCAAATCACTTCTCTTCCGTCCTTCTGCTACCTATATAATCTAATGTATGTTTTGGTTAAGTTAGTGCCCACCAGGTTAACCCCCATAAGTATTCCACCAGCTGTGTGAACCAATAAATCCTCTGCTCGTTTTCACCTGCACCTAGTGTGTCTGGATATTATTAGCTAAAGTAGGGATCAGCTGCAGTGAGAACTATGAACTTGGGACTCCTATATCCTAGCTGCGGTGCTCTAACTAGATGGCTGTTCAGGAGCAGGGGGAGAATTGTTTGCTCAAAAGCTTTTGAAAAGTCTTTGGATTCTTTCTTCATCAGAACACAAATGTTGAAATGGCTACATTTTCCACAAATAGAAATCTTGCGACAGGTGCTGCTCCGACCAGGCCCATTATATTGCAGGCAGGTGGAGAGCTGATCCAGCCCACCTAGGCCACCAGTTAACTGTAACCGGTAAGTATCACCCAGAAGGTTGATACTGATCAGTTAACAGGGTAAGCATTCATGTTCCTATTAGGTCTGTGTATAGATAGCAAGAATATTCAGTAATGCTTCACACAGTAATTAGCTATAGAGCTGAAGAAATTCTTTATCAAATAAAATCAACTAGAAATGGCAATAACAGTCTTCCAGCCCTCATCAGTATGCAGATCCACACTTTTATTGGTCATACAATTATTCAAGCCTTTTAGCCTAAAACATGAGAGATGTTTTCTGATTGCCCTGGAAAATGACCTGCAGATGCTGGTTATATGCTCCACACAGTAGCATTCTGAATTCTCCTCCCATGTTTACTAGTCAGATTTATTGTGTGGCTTTTTTGTGTGTGTGGTTTTTAATATTGTAGTCTAAAAACCGAGTTACTCTTCTGAGATCCTCAGTGGGTCTTTTTGCAGTTTGTGAGCATTGTCTAATGCAGGGACCGCCAACCTTTGTAAGCACAAGACCATTTTTTGAATTTAAGTGCAATTCAGGATCTACCTCAAGCCAAATACCTTTGCCCTGCCTCCTTCATGCCCCTTCTCCAAGACCCTGTCCCTGCTCTCTCCCTTTCACCAGGAAGGTGAAGAGGGTTGGGGTAAAGGCTCTCGTCTTGGGTAAAGGGATTTGGAGTGTGAGAGGGGCTCTGAGCTAAGCCTGGGGTGCAAGAGGGGGTTCAGGCTCCATAAGGGAATTTGGATCCAGAGGCTCAGGGCTGGGGCATGGTTAGGATGCAGGGATTCATGACGGGGAAAGGGATTCACCCTGACATGAGTGCCCACCTTCTCCCTTCCCTGCTCTGTACAGCAAGCAGGAGGCTCCCAAGGGAGAAGGGGGCCAGCTCCCAGGCAAAAAGCAGATGTGCAACAGTGGAGGGAGGAGCAGTTGATGTGCTGGCACTTGATGGCCTCTTGGCCAAACCAGTCAGGATCACCTGTCAGAGGCTCCAAGATCTGCCAGCATATCCCGAGCTACTGGTTGGTGACCACTGGTCTAACGTCAGCTGGAGAGAGGTAAGACACTGACAGAGAACAGCCATTTTGGAGCATGTGACTAGTCTACTGGAAAAAGCCAGGAAACCAAAGCGTACTTTGCTTCGATTCACGTTCACGTGCCTTTTAAAAAGGTCGGACCAACTAATCACACCTCTTTGTACATTGATGTAAGTGAATTTATTGCTGAGACACATAGCCAGGAATAGCAGCATCTCCTCCAGGCATCCAAGTGACAGGACTGTAACTATGGGTTGATGAAAGCAGGGCACCTAGTTGGTCTGCCCCCTTCCTCAGGGCTTCATTCTGGCTTGCTTACATTTCCTTGCTCAGCTTGCCGAAGAAGCCCTTTCTAACAGCCCCCAAAGAATGCAAGGAAAGCCTGCCTGGGGCTGAGAATACCACTAGGTAGCAGGGTGCCTATAACAGGCACCACAGAGGCCTAAATCCCCTTTGAATCTAGGTCCAAATGACTTTCCAACCACTTTCTATGGGGCTGCTAATTTCATCTTTGATTATGTGCCTTTCCCCATTGCTGCTGTTTGGTTTATTAGGCAAACAAGCCAGTTTAAGCAACTCTGTGCTCAGCTCTCAAGCCTGGTACAAATGCTCTTCTGCTCAAGTTCTCTACCTCTAATAGTCTTTATAATTTTGTTTAAAAACACTTATTTACATGAGATACTCTACTATAAAATATACACAATCTTGTGTGTCCAGCCCACAGCCGAGTGCTAAAAGGGGCAGAACACTTTTGTCACTCCCAGATTTTTAGCCCTAAACAGGCCATGTGTCAAGAGTCCCAGAGCGACCAAACTCAGGGGAAACACAATCAATTCCATCCCTCACTCACTGACCTCAAAGCCACAATAACAAACGCACCAGTCCCAGCCCGCAGGCTGGAGTTTCAGCCACAACTCACATGTTGCTAAGCTGGATTAGAGGCTTCCTCGTGTCTTCCCTATGGACAGGTGTGAGAGACCAGCTCTCAAGCTGAGTGACTGATCCATGTTTTGATTCTCTTGCTGGTTAGACCACACAAGACTTTGGGATCTGCCTCCTGGATGTTCAGGCACATTAGGCTCAGTCGAGCTCCAACTCGGGAGATATACTCCACCTCACCAGTCAGAAACCTTCTTGGCTGCGATGAATCTAAGTAAATACAAGAAAATACAAGTAGCCCACAGACTCATATTCCATATACTCACCCATGTATGACATGGCAACGCAAGACCTGGGGACAGGCTGCAGCAGCTGTTAAACTTTTGTCCTTCACTCCTGAGCATCTGTTAAACTCAGTTACCAACCAACAGCAGAAAGACTGAGGAAGGCAAAATGCTGGGCTATGGAAACCAGTATTCTTATTCTGAGGAAAATAATAGTTTTCTGATGACCAGGGCTCTACCAAATTCATGGCCATGAAAGATGCACCACAGATGGCAAAATCTGATATCTCCTAGCAAAATCTGGCACAGAAGTAAGGTGACAATGCCATACCATGCCATCCTTCTATGCTGCTGCTAGTGGCAGTTCTGCATTCAGAGCTGGACTCCCAGCCAGCAGCTGCTGCTCTCTGTCTGCCCAGCAGCAGCACTGAAGTAAGGGTAGCAGTACAATAACCATCACTAATATAACTTTGCGAATCACTCCCCCCAATTCTTTAATTACAACACTGATATTTCATATTTAAATAGCCGAAATCATTAAAATTCCTATTTTTAAAATCCTATGACTGAAATTGGCCAGAATGGACCATGAATTTAGTAAGGCCCTAATGACAACTCAAGTCAGCATGTAAGGATTAGGAGCGATACACTGCTCACCCAGCAAGTGTACAGGGGTATGGCACTTACTCCCTCTAATGCCAGCCCCAGCTCTACAACCAATGGATTACACCTTAACTTTGCTGTGTCACCCATGCCACGCACTGCAGCACAGTGCCACTTGGCAGCCCTAGGGTCAGTATCATCTGATAGAGGTGAGTGTCTCAGCAGCACAGCCCCTTGCACCAGTGCGGCACTGGGACCAATTCTGACTGACGGAAGAGCTCTGCTCCTGGTGCCAGCACTATGCAATTTGGGTTCTCATCAGCGAACTCTAAACCAGGGGTGGGAAACCTTTTTTGGATCAGGGGTCACCTGACCCACAGAAAAAAATCAATTGGGGAATGAGAAGCAAAAAAACCAAAACAAACCCTCACTGATGGGGTCCCTGACTGAGAAGGAGAAAAACCCTCCTCACATTCTCCTCACACAGCAGAGACTTGGGGAGGATAGTCAATTTTGGCTGCTCAAGCCCCACAGGGGAAAGCCCTGAGCCTCAGGGGCCAGATCCAGGTAAGCCAGGGTTTGTATCCAGCCCCCAGGCCTGAGGTTCCCTAACCTTGCTCTAAACCAAGCCTTGGCTTGACCTGCTCTTGTCTGAGGTCAGGATCTTACAGCTAAGGTGGCAGATGTGTGTTAGGAACATGGAGAATTAGAAACTCGTTCCAGGAGTGAAACTATGCAGAAGACACTATCAGAAGAAGCTCCAGTTCTCCAAAGAGCTCTCCAGTAACAAAGATGACAAGACCTGACGTTTCTCTTTACAGAAACACACAAGACACTCAGAAATAACCTTTTCAGCCTCTCTCTACACCAGAAAGAAGCCAACAAAGGCAGATACACACTCCTCTTCTCCCTCCCCAGGTCTATAAGAGTAACAATTACCCCTCCTAAAAGTTTTGGTAGAAAAAAAGTCAGAGCAGTCTTACATTTTGGGAGACACCACACACCTACTGAACCTTGCCATAGCCTTTCCCAAAACACATGAATCAACATCCCACACAGCCTGGCTGAAGTCAGAAGACTTGGAGTATACTAGCAGCTAAGGTAATTTCCCCTGGGCTGGCTGAAGAGAGGTGGCCCGCATGCCATCCTCCTACAAGCTGCTGGGAGGATCCTTCCCCACCCCTCTTCTGCCCACCAGGCAAGGTGACTCTTTCCTTCCCCAGTCAAGCAGTACTTGAGGCTGATGGTGATAGCTAAGGGCACTTACTCACCTGGCTGGGGAATCTTTGACGGTTTCCTGTCAAGGCTGAAATCCAGCAGCATGGGCCGGCTGATGGCACGGCTTCTACACAGGTTCCTGAGATAGCAAGTGACAGGGTCTTCAGGCTCCTCCACACACTGAGGAAGGAACCAAAGTATTGTCAGTGAAACTGGACAGTGAGCCAGATGGCTACACAGGAGCCAAGGACTCCCATTCAAGTGAGGCTCAGGCCCAGCACCACAGCCAGTACCAGAATAAGCCACTCACCCAGGGCCTGGCACCAGCACCTCCATGCTGAATTAAAATGCTGCCCCTGCTCTGCACACTGCTCTGCACAACATTCCACTCCGCAGGACTCAGGCCCAACAACGCTGCCACCTGCTGGTTCCTGCACAGCACCAGAACCTCACCTGTTCCATCCTCTACCAGGATCCTGCAGGCCAAGCACAGATGGAAGGAGACAGCGGCCTGGTCAGCGGGAGGAACAGGCACATGTGAGCTCAGTGGGGAAAGGAGGGCTGTGGCAACGCCAAAGAAAGGGACGGTTTTAACTGGCTGTTCCATCCATGTCATCTGTTCTCAGCCAGCCTTTGCTTGATCAACTCCTCTCACTTCCCTAAGCAAAGCGGGCTTGGCTTTCTCCTACCCACCTCCTCCCAATCTCTGCACCTTCAGCACTTACCTGGCAAAGGCTTTACTCACTCCTGTGTGTGATGGGCAGGGCGGGCTTTGTCGGCTGCATCTCCCCTGAAGCAAGAGCAGAAATCAGAGCTGGAAGCGGCGGGGAGGGGAAGAAGCTAATACTCTGTGAGCCTCCCCATGTTAATAATCTTGGTAGCTGCAGTCCCAGGGACAGTGTCTCAAGCAGAGTCCAGCTAGGCCTTAGTATCTGTGTAAAAGGAGCCACCCAGATGCTGATGTTCCCTATTCTAAGGATTTGGGTGGGACTGAAACCCTCTCCCAGGAATGGAGTATGCACTGGGAAGGCACAGCACTGACATACTGCAGGATTCTCCCCTGCATGCCCAGAACCAGGCCAACTTGACCACTGCACATAGGCCTGTGGCATAGCCAGACATCACAGGCACATGCAGCTGGTGTTTTGGGACCTCTTCTATCATGGCACTACTGTGTAAGAGGCATTAACAACAACAGACAATGCAAATGAGGTCAGGAAGCATTAATTTCTCCCACCCAGTATTTGACAAGGGCTACATTCCCAGTGAGCAGAGGTCAGAGTCAGTAAGCCAGCTAATGGCGTCCGAGCAGAATGCACATGACTCCCATGAAGGCTCCTCTCCAATGATCCCTGTGATCCCAATGATTCTGGGTACCTCTCTGAAGATGCTGCTGCAGTCAGAGCAGATCCACTGCACGGACAAATCCAGGACACAGGACAAGTGGCAGAGAATCTGGCCCTGGGATAGGCTGTGAGGCTGAAGCAGCAGTTCGGACAGAACCACCAGCGTGGGGGACGTGTCTGCTGGGGACTTGAAGGCTGTACCAGCAGGACTAGAAAAGAAGAATGTGAATAACCTACCATGGAGAAAAACTCCCTGGGGAAGAGCAAGGCAGAGCCCAGACTCACTTGGAGGAAAGGAGCAGGCAGGAAGGTGGTAGAGCCAGGATGCTGATGCAGCTGGAGGCAATGTATGTGCAATAAACATTGTGGAATCTGCAATATAAAAAAACCCCCAAACATTAGGGGAAGTCTTAGGATGCCCCTTTGTCTGGATGAGCTGGGGTCTTCCTTTCACGTTCACACAGCCCATGAGAGTGGGGCTAAGAGCTGAATGGGATGAAGAGAGAAAGGACAGTACATCAGGAAGGCAGAGGGACAAGGTACGAAGACAAGGAGCAGGATGCAGCCAATTGCATCCAGGCCCGGTCACAAGCCAAGTGGTGGTGGCAGGAGGACATGTACCTGTGAGGGTGGGGAAAGGAGAGCGTCAGGGCCTAGATTTGGCCTGATGGCTGTTCAGAGACTAAAAATACCTGGAGATTTTGCGCTGCAGGTTCTGGAAGAGAATCTTGGCCCCAGGCAGCAAACCCCAGAGATGCTGAAGGAAGGCACTTGCTATGTAAACATCCAGAACAGCAGAGGAGCCAGGAGCAGCTGAGACACTCAGCTTCACACTGTGATCCCAACACAGGAGGGTCCCTAGGCAAACAGAAGGCCAAAGATACGATGAGCTCACAGCCGCTTCTTTAACCTACTTCCAGCTTACCCTGCTACAGGCTAGTTTCAGGAGCCCTACCCCACGAACCAACCAGCATCTGGTCCCCAGAGTCATACATTAATGCCCCTTGCCTCCTCCTGTACACATAGGCCCATGCACCTTCTCTTCACCCCCCACACCCACCTCTAGGGCAAGCACCTCTCCATTTGCTCTCAACGCACTCAGGGGACAGAGTACTGGTCCCGCCATCACACAAAACGGGACACTGTGTCTGAACCACAGACACATACCAGGGCAGAGCATCCCCCTCCATGGCAAGCACCAGCAAAATGCCCCATCCCTGACACACACGCACAACGGGACACAGCCACCCCATTTCCTAGGCAGAGTGTCCAACCCTAGCACGCACAAAGTGAAATTCTCTGGCCCTCTGACTTATTCACAGGGCTGCAGGACCCTGACATGCCTCCCCTACCCTCCAAACGTATGCATGCAGAATGGGGCCTGGGGCTTTGTCTCCTCACAGTGCAGAGGGGACCAAGCATTGTCAGAGGCGGGCATATGCTGACCTTTCTGCCGCCGCATGTCACAGGGCGTAGAGAACTTTTCAGCACACAACGTCCGCTCCACTATCACACCAGAGAAAGAGACAAGGGAGCCTGTGAAACTGAGAGCGCAGCAAAGAGTCAGGCCACAGAGACTAGGCTGAAAAGTTCCCCCACTCAGTTTCCAGCAACAGAGGAAACTTAAGGCACAGCCACTTCAGCACCTTCCCCTGAGCTCATCTGTCCCAGGGCCTCTGGGACATCGACAGGGCCATGACTACACCGGGGCATCACCTACATAGCACCGACTCGGTCCCAGAATGTGGGTTTCCTGTGGGTGTTTGTGTTGGTTCATGTCATGTGGAAAGTTGCGTAGTCTAAGAAGTGATGTGGCAGAAGAATAGGCCAGGATGTGTGGCAGGATAACAGGAGAGGGCAGGGTTTTAAGTGAGGCAGGGGTGATTCGTGACAGCCCTTTGCTGGGGAGGCATCACTGTTGTTCCATACCTGTACTTCATCTGCCTATCAAATCAGATGGACTTTGTTCCTGGCATCAGCCAGACAGTGGATTAAGAGCATAAGCTTTCCGCAAGTAAGATTCCCCCATACACTCCCAGTCACAGGGAATGCCTGAGATGACAACGGGTACATTACAGTACATCTCAAAGTCAAGACAGAGTGAGACACATGCTCTGAAGCTCAGCTCTGAGCAGACCTACGCATCGGCCCCTTCCCATCAGCTCAAGGGACTCAAGATTGCAGCTACCCTGGTAGGAGTGGAAGGTCTTTGGTGGCTGATGTGGCATCTCCCTGTGAGGTTTAGCCCTAACTCTTATAGGCAGCTAGTGAGGCTAGTACCACAGCATAGCATGGGGCATTCTGCTTTGTTACTGGCTCTCACTGAGGGACTGACTCCTGGTGCTGTAGCATATAGGCTACAGACAGAGTGGGGAATACAGGTTTCCATGGAGCTAGTTCCGATCAGTCCCACACCCACAAAAGCAGAGTACGGGGTTCCCTGCATCCGTTTCCTTGTTGCTGGATCTGGAGAAGCAACAGCAAAGGCAGTAGGAAAGCAGGGGGAGGGAGGCATCAGGGCCAAGGGGATGGTGCCAGGTGGGAGGCATTCTGAAGGCAAGTCCTAGAAGCTTACCTTAATAAGGCTGTGGAAAAATAAAGGATTTATACACCCAAGTTAGAAATGGAGCAGGTGAGGAGAAGGGAAGGGAATTGGCCTTACTATAGAAACCTATGGTGGGAGTGGGCTTCATTGCACAGACAAGGTCATTCACTTCCGATTAAAAACACATTTGAAAAGATCAGCATTCCAGCCCCATTCCATAGCATTTGGACAGGCAACAGAAGGTAACTCTCCATCTTCCTGACCCAGACATTCCTTAGCCCAATCTCAGAGCGATGCAGTGGCGACCCACTTCCACGCCAACAAAAGCCCAAACTATTTTAGGGACCATTCAGAAAGTATCTCACTTATGATCCCATCACATTTTGTATACAAAATAGGGCCAGATCAGGCCAGCGCTTGCATGGGAGGGAGATTTCCAAAGAAACCCCACTGCACTGCAGGGACTGGTGCGGATGGTTGAGTAAAGGAAGCCAGCACTGATCTTATTTCACAAGTGGTGGGCACATCTCCATCACCATAATGTCACAGCAGAAGGACCAACATACCTGTTGCTCAGCAGCTCTGGAATGGAGAAGACGGTGCTGGCAGGGATGGGGCAGACAGACTCTGGCATCGCCTGGAAAAGGAGAAATCAGACTTAATGAGATTACAATACAGGCAGTCCCCGAGTTACGCGGATCCGACTTATGGCGGATCCGCAGTTACGAATGGGGTTTTTCTCGCCCTGGAGGACGGGAGCGGCGGGATGCCCAGATGCGCCGCGGTCCCGCCGCCCGCGTCCTCCAGGGCGAGAAAAGCTGCTCCGCATCTCCCTAGTCTGCTGGGGGGAGGGGGAGAACCCCCCCCAGCAGACCAGGGAGACGCGGAGCAAAGCCGTGGAGGACCCAGGCGGCGGGACCGTGGTGCGTCTCGGTCCGCCGCCTGCGTCTCCCTGGTCTGCTGGGGGGGGGGGGGGGGGGGCGCAGACAGA